TCATAAGAATACTTGCCCTCAGGGGCGGATCTAGGATTTACTCGCGAGGGGGGGGGGGGCGGATTTTCAAAAAATTTAATAGATCGTCCAAATTGATTATCCGAGCTCTCCTAGAGCACTAAAAACATGTCAAAAGGGCACTTTTTGGAAAGTTTTGACAAAACAAAATTGCATTTTTTTTGGCGCGCGCTCCCCGTCAAAGTTAGTATATATTGGCGCCAAAGGCGCTTTTGGAAATATATTAGGGTCGGTCGGCCAAAAATGGACTTCTTTAGAAGCACCAAAGGGGGACCCTTCGGGTCGGCAGGGGGTCGAATCCCTGAGGAGGGGCATCCGCCCCTGCTTGGCCTTGCAGTTTGCATATTTTATTGACTATATTCGTTTTTAATTTTTGTTTTGCAAGTTTATTGACTTCTCTTCTCAATGTCCTGTCTTTGCGGGATATTGCAAGAATTTTTTATATTTAAAGAAAAACCAGTTTTTTCTTCAAGAAGCGTCAGTGCTTCCTCAATGCAAAAGTTTCAAGAATAGAAACTGCAGTTTTTGTTATCGAAAGCAGCTTTGCAACATCTGGTGTTCAAAAATGCATCTTTCGCGCAAAATAAAATTTTAATTTGAAAGAAGTTTTCCAGCAGTTAGTTTTTTTTATATCTATAGAATTGGTTCTTAAATGATTTGAAAGAACCATTTATTTTATTTATTGTTTAACTGAAAACTGCTAGATACAATGTTTGACTTTTTTAAAGCGACTGCTGCTCAAACATATTCAATTGTTACTTGAGCCTTCAACATGTATAGCACTAGTTTTAAAACAGTAAATCTAAAAATGTACTTTAGATTCGTGCGACTAGAATGCGAAAGTATTTTATTATAATTGATCATAAATATCTGCTTCATGACGCTTGAAACTATCGATTTAAAAAAGGCCAGGAATTTCTTTATTAATCTGTTTCTTTTTTAATTCAGTTCATTTTTTATTGAATTATTATTTCTTGTTGCGAGTGGTTTTGTTAGCTTCTAATGGCGTTTGAAGGTGACAATAGTGAGTAGACATGTTGATTATTTCAGTCGCTCTGGTATCTGCTCTGGCCCTAGTCTTCATCCTCGTTCTCATCTTCACCTGCACCTACACCAAGTGAGTGAGAGAGCATAACAATAAATTTATAAACAGATTGTCTATGCTACATTTGTTTTTGAAACATTTTCGACATCGTGGCTTTCAATTACCAATGCGCTCTTTTTGGAACTTTTGCTATCCAAGAGCAAAAAAAATTGACAGGTAATGCTGCTTTTTTCGGAAAAATTTTAGACTAATCAAAGAGGGAAAGGACCGATCTGCAAGCTGTAAGTGTAGGTCTCATGATTGTTTGGGGCTCAAGCTCAATTTTACGAAGGCGTCTTTGGGGGTTCAACTACTGGCTTTCAGAGTAGAAAGTGGCTATACGAGCCATTTCGTTTCCCTCCTAATGGATAAGCTTGTTGCTTTTTACTTTAGCCTACTGTCTACAGCCTTCAAGAAAGTCAGTGAGAGAATATTTGACCCATATTTTTGTGTTTTTCGTTTTCTCAAGAAATCCCCCCTAAATATGAGATTTTGGGTTCAATAGATAAAACGGGTTATGGGCAGCTCCCCTGCTTAAACGGCTACGCCCGAATTTTTCTTCACCAAAAGTCATGGCCCTCGGAATAGTCAAGTTTTTGATTTTTTCTACCGTTTTTTTTAAATTCTTTTTAAGTTTGCTCGAAAACTACCGCTCCAATTCTGAGATTTTGCGTTCAATCGAAACAACTGATTGTGTGAATCTCTTTTGTTCAGCGGCTATCCCAGAGTTTTTTTCACAAACGTCTGATTTGCTAAAAAGTCAAATGCTTGACTTATTGACTGTTTTTTGGAAAGTTTTTGACTTTTCTTGAAAACTACCCTACCAATTATTTAACTAAATGTTCGGGTTCAATCGAGAAACCCGGTTTTGGGACTCTTCTCTTCTTAAAGGGCCATGACGTTCTGTTTGCAGAAAAAAAGTTAACTATTTCGGAAAGCCAAGTTTTCGAACTTTTGACCGTTTTTAGAAACTTTTTGATTTTCTTTGAAACTACCCTATCAAATTTGGGATCAAGGGCTCAATCAAAATAAATGGTTGCGAGAATTTTTCCTACAATAGCGGCACCTCTTTTTTTGCAAGGAACATTTTGGTAAGATTGCATTTTCCTAAAAACTTTCACTTTTCTCACTTAAGTAAGCAACTAAGGTTTTGGGCAAAGTTCAATTTTTTCATCCCGCATCAGTATATCAATTTCCGAAAATATCAGTTTGCTACCTCCAGATTTAACTGAGCATCTAGATATCTTATACAAAAACATACAAATCTTTTGGTTCTCCTAGTTTTTCAAACATTCAATTTTTTTTCAACTTAGTTTGTGTTGTATCGCAAGTGGTGCGAAGCTCCGGTTCGCATCTGTGTATAATATTCGTTTCATACAAAGGCGCAAAATATAACTATTTCTAATTGTTTGATACAATTAAGGTACAAAAAAATTTAGATAGATCACGAAACTTTTTAGTGCTTCAAATTCCTGTTTGATAAAAACTTTTCTTATGAAAATGTATGGGATCGGGTTTTTTCTTTATTCGGTTTTTTTGTTCTTTTTTAGACGCTTGGGTTTTATCAAAAACTACTCTACCGCTTTTGAAAAAATTGGAACCATAGGGAATTCCGCCAATTCCTCTGTGTGCCTTTATAATCTCCTAGTCTCTTTTTACCTTATTCCGCTTTCTAAAGCCTTCGAAAAAGTGAGTGGGGGAATTTGACCAAACATTTTGGATTTTTTTACCTTTTCTCAAAAACTACCTTTGCAAATCTGAGATTTTGGATTCAACGAATAGAACAGGTTGTGGGACTCTCCCCTGCATAAGCGGCTACGCCCAAGTTGTTTTACACAAAAAGTTATGGCCCTCAGAAATGTAAAATTTTCAATTTTTTGACCGTTCTTAAAAACTTCTGGAAAACTACCCTTCCAAGTCTGAGATTTTAGTTTCAATGAGTAGATTGTGAGAAGCTCCCCTGCATAAAAGGTTACATCCATTTTTTTAACAACAAGACCCTCGAAATGTCAATTTTTTTTACATTTGAAACTTTTTGACTTCTCTGGAAAACTACACTTCCAAATCTGAGGTTTGGTTTCAATGGGTAGAGAGAGTTGAAGGAAGTCCCCTGCTTAAGTGGTCTCGTGGCTGAATTTTTAACACGCTCCATTACTTCCAATTGTTTTGTGCTGTGTTTGACGGGGTGAAAAATCAAAATGCATTCGTTAATGTTAATCTTACAATTAATTCTTTGCTTGATTTTTTTGCGTGAATCGTGTCGAGCAAGTTCTTTGAGTGGCTTCCTACCTCTGTTTTCTCCATTGGTTGGATAATCTTTTAATAAATTTGCTCGATTCTTCCCTTTTTTGGCCGCATACCGCCGCGACCGTTAAGCTACCGTTTCGCCGTTACCCCGTAACTTTTGACCAATAAACTGTGTCCGTTAAACTATACACTACCGCACCTAGATCTTACTGAACTTAAGAAAATGACAGTTGAAAGTTTTTAAATTTATAATCGCCGTAAGAAATGATTTGACTGAACAAATTCTGATTTTAAGAGAGTAATGTATCAGTAAAAAAATCCAAAAATTATCAAACGGTTAGTTCCAGCTTTAACTGGCCTCTAGTCTTCGGAAACAGGGCGAGCGTTTGCTTACTTGTTTTTGAAAGCTTCACAAAATGGCTGGACCCTTCTTTCATACTTTTCAGTGACTTAACTGTCATACTTTACTTGTACCGTGTTAAGAGTCATGAAGGTTGTGAATACTCTTATATAGGTCTTGATAATTTTAGGTCAGGCTCAATTTTAATTTTTCGGGATTTGGCTTTTGATTTCTTTCAAAGTTCAGTTATTTTCCTTTGTTTAAAAGGAAGGCAAACTCCACTATCTAGCAGCAAAAGTGTAATGGTCACAAATAACCTGATCGACTTCTAGTTTCGAAACCGGAATTTAGTTTTAAGATTTCCAAGCGGAATAAAAAACTCCTTTAATAATCAAGTTTTCTCAAATTGGGTTTCATTAATCAAAAAAGTGCTACTCATAAATTGTTCTTGAAAATCAAAGAGCTCTAAGGCCATCTGTTTCATATTTTGAAATTCCAAAGTTGCAGTTTGTTCGAAAATTGAATCCGTTTTTTTTTTCTGTTTCCTTGCATTCATGACTTCCCAACTGTCTGTTGGCTGTGTTGTTTTCGTAGGCAACAAAATTTTTTAAATCGACGTTTTTTTTGTGATAGTTGAATGGGTTAATTTGGCGAAATAGTGTTTTTAAAAGTTAATTAGCCATAGTAATCGTTATTTCTTCATTTACCATAAAGTTAATTTTTCATAAATTGGTTTCTTTCACTTATTAAATGATTTTACGGTTGATCCGATCAGCGGAATCATAAAAGATCTATTTTGTCTCATTCTGGATTTGTTGAACCTATCAAAAAATTTTGGACAAATAAGAGTGAAAATGTGCGCAAGTGCGTAGAGCATAGGTGTGGCGTAGTGTTTCTCATGTCAACTATCTTCTAAGGAGTTCTAAAAAATAATGTGGCGCTTACATTCACTATCTTTGCTGTATTGAGACCACATTGTTGAAATACTTTTCCCGTTTTCCACTTTTTAAAATAGCACCATTTATGATCAAGAAAAACTGGGAGCGTACGAGCGAGCTGTTCAGCTCTTTCCGGAACACCGCTGTTCTACCCCTGGTTAACGGCCTCTGGTAGATTTTTTTTTAGCTGTTTCAGCTCAACTATTTTTGAAGTTTCATTGACCTCACCACATTGTACCATTTTAACAGATGAATGTTTTTGGATGCAAAATTAGACATACATTTGATTTTTTTTTTCAAATGGACAACAGCGCGCAAACTGCTTCCTGTATTTTTTGAACATCTATTATATTTTATTAGTTTTATACAGCAGTTTCATTATTAGTTATTTATTTCGTTTATACCGCCATTTTGAACTGCTAGCCGCCTTTTTATAGCTTACTTATACTTTTGATTTAGATAATATCGAAAAAGACATATTTTTTGAAGTCATTTTTTTTTCAAAATTTGCAGCAATTAGCAGCCATGTCTCCCTTAAAAGCCACTTTTATTTTCTCGTATACGTTTTTCATTTGAATGGCTAGTATTGCTAGTGATTATGGAAGCTCGATATCAGAAGAGTTGACATTGGACCCTCCACTGGAGATAACCATTGATCTCTGGACTGTAGAACCTGTCTCGAAGTATGCTGTAAATGATGGTGATGCTAATTTGAAGCATGAAGTGTTGAATGAAGTGACTGAAGATGAAGGTCTCCTGTATTACTGCTGTTCTTCGTGGTGTCGCAGGAGAAATATCAGGTGCTCTGAAATCACTTGAAGGCATCCTATTGCACACAGGCGTATACTATAACTAGATAGTTGATTCGGCTTTCAGGATCAATTTTCTTTTTTCTTGGCACAGTTGATACAATGTTTGTTCGTTTCGTTTACTTGTTATCTTTTAAGACAAAAAAAGGTTCTTTAAGAGAAATGAGCGTAGTGAGTACTCTTATCTTATTTAGTTTCAAATGTGGATTCTGTTGTAGCATCAGTAGAAGAATTCGTGAATATAACAAATTCAACAAAACGCACAATTGTGCAAAAGCATACAAAAGCTTTTTTCCCAGATCTCTTTAAAATTAACTGACGCCTAAAACAGCAAATTCCACCCAGAAGTCAAAATCCTCTTTTTTCCATTTACGCCCTGGGCCTTGAAGATTGTAATTTCTGGTGCAGAGTTTTTCGTGTAGTGCCATGTTAGTGCTCGTTAATTTTTTTTTACAAAAACGACATTCTTTGCCCTCTTCCCAATGTATCTATTCGCTTCGATCGCTGTTTTCTCACTTTTGGAATTCTTCTTGCATGCTTTAGAAGATTCGTCAAGTTGTGTTTCTCTTTGAAAGGGGCCTCCCAGCTGAGGTATTTGAAATTCTTGTTATTCGATGCATTTTTTCTCGTCTGAAACATGTCCGTCTTGACTCTTATATTCTTTTTCACCCTCCCCTCCTACAACGGAATGGAGAGCCTATTTTACTTTGTTCTTGTGTTCTTTGTGGAGGGGTTTCTGTCTTTTTGCGTTTCGCCATTGTTCCAGAATAATAATAATAATAATAATAATTTCTCGTTGTTACAAAACGGCTAATTAACCAAATAAAATTTAACAAACTTTTTAGCAACTCGGAGAGGACAGCGAACGACTTCATTTGGATTGCAGGATGCTGCCCTAATTTCAAAGACATAATCTTCGATTAAACTTAATAGTAAGAGCATGAGAGTGGAATTAACATAAACTAAATACATTTTCTGAAGAACAAAGGTAGCAAAAAAGTAGCTTTTTACTTCAACAAAAAACGTCGATCAACAAACTGGATTGTTTTAGTCGTACGTAGGAATTTCCTGACGATGTATACTCAAGTTAGGCGGTCGGAGTATATGAACTTGACATCATTGAAAAATTGAAAAAAGTATATGAATTTGTTTGTATGACCTGCAAAAACTCGCTAGTCGTAGCCCCCCTTGTTCGGTGCAACTGTAAAACTTAAACATGTTCTCTGAGCGGTTACTGCTTCTACTAACTGTACCTCGTCTCTAAAGCCTCCCTGACACCAATAGAATTGGATGGAGGCCATTTAATAAAAATATTAAACAAAAAAATTTCACTATTAAGTCCAGCAAGGGATCTCATTACAAATTTAAGAATTTCGTAGACATAGCTCTGATCAGATATTTTTTTTGTATAAAAATACAAACGAATGCTATCTAATTTTTGTTTGAAATGAATTAAGCGCAAAATTTTTTCCTATTTATTAAAAGAGGCAATAGGTGAATATAACTGGTGCAACCATATAGGAGAATTCAGTTTGCAAAATTTGCTTAGTATTTGACCTATAGTGTTGAAGTAAAAACGATTTTGGAACATAATGACGCATTTCTGAAATAATCCCGCCTTGGTTTCTGATTTTGTTTCGCACGAAATCAATGTGAACATTAAAGGATAACTTGAAATCAACATGAACAGCGAGATATTTGCATGAAGAAACGCTTTTTAGTGGTAAATTATTGATGTATAAGAGAGATTTGGAAGCATTAAGTGGGAATAAGTTTAAATAGACAGTTTCATTCATATTTCCTGATATTTTGGCCGTTCTTTCACCGCTTTAAGATCGTTTTTGAAACTTTCAAAGGAGCAATTTAAACCTGTAATGTTTGTATCATCTTGAAATTAAAAAAAATTTCACGCGAATTGCAAACCTTGGGTGGGTCATTGATGTATATGAGGAATAACATGGAACCCTGTAGAACAATTCACTCAAGCCAAGAAGATCTGGAATTTCCCAAAAGTAATGTTTGTATCATCTGGAAATAAGAAAAAATTTCACGCGAATTGCAAACCTTGGGTGGGTCATTGATGTATATGAGGAATAACATGGAACCCTGTGGAACACCGCAATTCACTCAAGACAAGAAGATCTGGAATTTCCCATAAGTAATGTTTGTATCATCTGGAAATAAGAAAAAATTTCACGCGAATTGCAAACCTTGGGTGGGTCATTGATGTATATGAGGAATAAAATGGAACCCTGTGGAACACCGCAATTCACTTCAAGCCATGAAGATCTGGAATTTCCCATAAGATAACATTTGAACCATAGTAATGTTTGACCACTTATTCCAGGCATTTCTAATTAATTCAAAAGAATTTTATGATCAAGTGTATCGAACGCATTCTTCAAATCAAGAAAACAGTTCATTTTATTGACTTTTTCTTATCCAGACGTATTTTTTTGGTAACTTCTGCATTTTGATTAATAGTGTTTTTTTTCCGAAACCAAACTGTTTGACATAGATTAGGGAATAACATTCCCGGTATTTTCAAACTCTGTTGTAGATAGTCAGTTCGAAAGTTTTATTCCAGGTAATAAGAAGTGATATTGGACGGTAATTTCCTAAAATGGGCTTTGATCATTCTATATAAAGTGGATTAACTACGACTCTGATCAAAGAGCTGGGGTAGGACGCTGATTTGAACGACTTATCTATTTGAATTTTCAGTACGGTTACAATGGCTGCTCTGCTTGCTTTTACAATGACATTGCTAATTTTATCAAAACCAGTAGATGTTTTAATCTTCATGGATGTAATAATTTTATCGATTTCCAATTCTGTCACTGAAATGTTACGCATGTAAAAATTGGGTTTCTCAAGGGTTTGCCCTGAGTTAGAAATTGGTGTTTAATTTGACAGGTCAATGCCGTTAGTTGAGATAAATCTAGTGAATTCAGTTGTAATATCAAGATGACGTGATTACTTCTCCGTTTGTGCGTTTAATTGGAATCATTTTTATTGCCACCTCGAGTTGCTTTAATTTCATTTAAAATTCTATAGACCTGCCTTGAGTCACCAATACAATTTTAAAATTTATTATAATAGCATTGTTTTTTACTTTTTTAATTTTAAATATCTGTTTTCTTCCTAACGATTTCGAATCGATTTCGTGCAGTCGGGCTGATTTTTTTTACCATGCTTTATGTAACCGGTGCCGTTTTGTTATCAAATTGTTTTTTTATTTTAAAGTTAGTGATCCATGGACAATTAACTTTACTTTTCTTCGAACTTGGTCATCTAAAAGGAGCAAATTCATCTAATACTATTTTATTTTAATTCAAACCGATGAAAGCAATCATCCAATGATTCTGAATAGTTAATTGTTAGCATCGATTTTAATATCTCCTAATTAGAGCTGTCAACGCTCAGTATCGATTTCAGAAAACCAATATCGCGATAAGTTTTGGTATCTTCGTCTTTTAAGTGCGATGTGTAAAACTCTAAAGTAATCGGATAGTGATCAGAAAAGGACATGTTATCTCGTACTTGAGCATATTTGACTTTTAAGTCTTTAAAAATAAAGTAAACTAAAAGAGTTTTACTTGTATTTGCAATTCGCCTTGGTTTTGGGATCAGCTGTTTAAAGCCATTGCTTTCGATGACATCATGAAATGTTCATGAGAGGTTATTTGCCTTAAGAATGTTAATGTTGAAATCACCACAGGCTATAACAGGATACTTTTTGTTTGATAAAGCTTCAAGTGTCTGATCCAATTCATCAAGGAAGCAAAGTTTATCGGCTTTAGGCGGAGTTATAAAAGAGTATTATAAAACTTTCATGGAATGTTTTCACGTGAATTAATAAACTTTCTGCTAACTCGCTTGGATATTCTTCAATGAGAGTAACATTGTCGGTACATTAAACTAAGAGCCCTCCTCCGCTTAATGCTATTTTTGCTCAGTAAAGTGTTGTAACCTGTAATCTTGTAGCGGTTAATTTCGTCGGGTTCATGAAGCCAGGTTTCACTTTCGCTTAATAAATCAGATGGCGATTCAAGGTTGGCTATTAATGCTTCCAGTTCATCATAGTTTTAACATAGAGATCTGAAGTTCAAATGGAAAACGCTAGCAACTTAAGTGTGTGAGGAATTAGCAACTTTCAAATTTGAAGACAGGGTTTCGTGAATAGTTAATTAGGTTTCTGGTGCATTATGCTTTTGCTGAAAAACTCGGTTTTGAAGGCAGCTCATGTTATAACCGTATCCCAGGAAATCATCTCTTTCATACAGCCCATTTATTCGATCAACACGACCATTCTTGCATTGAACAAATATGACTGCTTCTTCATTCCAGTTCGACTGACTTCTTTGATCATTCCGAGTCAATTGCATAAACCGTAATCATGAGAGGCTCAGCTCATCGAATATTTCGTTGGTACTTGTATGCTCGTTATCAGACTATTTTTTCTTTCTTTTTTTGAAGTTCGGCAATTCTTCTATTGAAGCGCACGTCACTGGTTTTTCTCGAATATTTTTGTTTCGCGTCGGTAACTTTTGGGCAAATGAAATATCACGCACTGTCACGTTGGCTCCTATCTTTTCACTTATGTCATTAACTTTTATCAATTGTTTCGTCGTAGCTTTCCCTGGTTTCATTCATTGGTAGTCCTAAAATTCGTATGTTGTCGCGACTCTGACAACGTCTTCAAATAACAATTGTTTGTTTGGTGGTACACCTGGGACATGAAGTTTTTCATTATTTACTCTTTGATTCGAGCTACAGCATTATTGACAGCTTGTTGAATAGAGGAGGTTAATTTTTTTCGAGAGATTCAACAATTTGAAGCACTATTTTCTGCGCTGACTGTTCTACGGCAGCTTGGTTTTTGTGCGATATATCATCAGTTTCTTCACATGGATTTAACTCGGCGCATCTCCGCTTGTTTTCGGGCTTTGAAATTGGGGTTATTGGAGTTTGATCTCGATAACGTAAAGGTGGATAGTTGTTACTGTCAGAAAATGTGTTTCCCGAATTGGCGTTTGTTGTTGGTTCACCAATGGAGTCAATGGTTTCATTATTTGAGTTTGTCATTTGCCTTCTGAAACTTTTTAATAAGTTTATCAAAACAATTAGGCTACTTCCTTTCATTTACCAGTGTACTTCAATAGAAAACTTTTTCATTGACCAGCTTTTTCAATCCTTTCCTGCATTTTGTCAGGGTTTCTTTGCTGGTCCAGTTGAGCCCCGCTTCTTGATCAATTTTGGCCAATAGGTTTATGATGCTGTTCGATGACTTTGCGATCACCTAATAGCACTTTTGACAGAAAATCAAAAAAAGGCTATTAGGCCGTTGGACTCAAGAAAGAGAATCCAACGGCCTAATAGCACTGTTTTGATTTTCTGTCATTGGGCATTGGTAGTACATGTCACAGTCGTTGCAGCGCTTCTATTTCACATTTTGTTTGTATGCTGTTAATGACTAATTGTCTCCGTATCCGTTTACGCCTTAATTTTGCATTTTGAAACGGGGAGTCCTTTCATGTTGTTCCAAATAAGTCGCAAGCTGCGATCGACTACGCTGTGAATCGCGTTCAATTTAGTTGTTTCTACGCTCGTGCATTCGTTTCGTTGTCTATGCTCGTGCATATCGTTCATGCTCCAACGATTAATGCGTATTTTGTCTTTTTTAATAAGTTGAATATCAGTTCAGGAATTGACTGATTTTTTCAGGTCACCAAAAAATTATTGATTTTTTAACGCAGTATATTATTTTCAAATTCAGGTGTCCATGTTAATATAGACCCTATAATTAGCAGGCTTTTACTTTAAATTGAAAATTAAGAATAAGTCAGTCATTTCTGTCTTTTATGCTTCAGTTAGCTCTTATGAACAATCTTATGCAAAACTTCTGGGTGGAAACATTTCAAAGTTGTCCTTGTGTGAGAACGGTTCATTGTGAATAAAATCTGATGAAAATATGTTGGTTTCATAAATGCCCTCGTGTTACTACTAAATTAATGTCAATACTCTGTTGTTTAAGTTTGTGGGGAGATTCAGGGGAAGCGACTGGAAAGAGTCCAGACACGCCTGGCAAACGGGAGACGAGGAAGACTCTCAGAAACTCAGTAAGTGGACAAATTGGGTATTTGGGTATTAGAACTGTTAAACATCAAGTAAATGTGATGAAACCTGTTTATTTGATGTTTGAGCGATGGTTTTTGGATTAAACCGAAATTTCTTGCTTACACTTTGGGTTGTTCTTTAACATTGTTTTCTCTGCACTCCAAAGAAGCCTATGTTCACACTGTTCTCATCGTAAGAAGAATTTCTAGGGTATGGAAATATTTTAGAATTAAAATAAGTCATTTTCTCATTTTTGCTCTAGCCTGGAGACGAGCAGTTGGCCCACAGTGCTCATTTGTACCACTACCAATTGAAGAAGAAACAACTGTTGGAACAAGAAGCGTGAGTTGGTTAAAATAAAATCAGCTCGACTCTAAAACTAACACTTGAAATGGAAAATTTGTAGAGACTAACTACCAAAACTAAAAACTTCTGTTAGCGTAGTTAACTTCTGTAACATAGGAATGTATAGAGAGGTGGAATAACACTTGTTTTCTGAAGTTTGCTGGTTTTTTTCTGAGCTAGATCGCATAAGCATTTGCTCATCAATTTAGCACTAGCACATTTCTTTTGCATTGGCCATTTTGAAAGTATGCGTTGTATTCGCTTTAATGGAAAAGAGGGTAGAGTTTAAGAGTAATTAACGTAGTTATCCGCCCCTGTGTCTAACTTTTCTGCTTCACGTTTTGTTTTCTCTGATTGATTGATTATGCATATTCATTGATTTTTTATCCAATTTTGCCCAAAGTTCTATTTTTTCTTTGTTTTGTTTCTATTTTTCTGCTTTGCATTTGACATCAGTTCATTTTTTCTTGCGCTGAGTTCGAAGCAAAATTTTCGTCTATCAACCCATTTCCGTTTTTTCGGTAGCCTCTAAAAGCGCTCAATGCAATTCGAAACTCATCTGTACCATTCACTATCGAAGGAATCGTCTTGCTGATGGCTTTTTCTACCGCAGGTTTTGTGGATTTTGTCTAATTGTTTTTTGGTGTCACTGTCGTTTTCGCTAAGTGGACTTCAAAGGAAATCGGTGTTTCAGTAGCCAAGTCTCACCTAAAACTATTTAATAAGTTTATCGCAATATTTAGGCTACTCATCATGTACAGTCTTTAACTTCATGCCTGTGATTGTGTTTTTGACTTCGGTCTGAGATGCATTTTAGTCATTAACCTGCTGATACTTTTACGAATAAGCTTATATTATCTACTATGTCTTGATAAAGAGTAATCAACGTAGATATTTTTTTAAGGAAAAGTCTTAAAAGTCTCTAATAACTACAGATGAGCATTCATACATATTGATGTATTTATGAATGCAATTAGGTATAATTGCACTTTTTGAGTTTAATTGAAATTCATGCTGAAGGTGACGTAAATAGCTCTCTCCAAATACGAACGTGGAAATGGCGCGAAAAACACTAACTATTTCTAGTTTCGAAAGTGGAATTTAATTTTTAGATTTCCAGCGGAATGAAAATTTTACCTATTGATCCAGTTTTGACAAGCAAAGCTCGTGTGATAGTATGAACTCTCTTTGTTTCCAACCCAAGTCGCAAATATTAGTGTTCATTTTGAAAGTGTTCTTTTATTGCAGTAGATCAATAACCAGCTATTAAGTACAGCCAATGCGAATTATATTAACACAGAATATTTTATTACAAAGAGCACTTTAGCTTCGAGCTATCATGGATCTGTAGCGTAGAGGTAGCGAAGCAGACCCGCAAAAAACCAGAGGGTTCGAACCTGGGCAGAGTCGGATGTTTTAAATGAAATTTTTCTTATACTAGTTAAAATGCGTCCGCTCTATAAATAGGCATATTAGTAGGTGAATTTCTTTTTTTTTTTCAAATTGACTGGTACTGCTGATGCGTCATAATTGGCTTGCGTTACTTAGCATTTATATAGAATCAAAGTTTATTTCATTCAGTTTTTTGCTTGTGTATGCGAAGTGCAACTTCGCCTCTGTGTCTCAAGTTGGGTTTATGTTATCAAAGAAGCGCCAATCGTAAGTCGTTCTAGAAATTCAAAGAGCTTAAAGGGCATCTATATTTTTCGTTGAATTTAGCACTAGCACATTTCTTTTGCATTGGCCATTTTGAAAGTATGCGTTGTATTCGCTTTAATGGAAAAGAGGGTAGAGTTTAAGAGTAATTAACGTAGTTATCCGCCCCTGTGTCTAACTTTTCTGCTTCACGTTTTGTTTTCTCTGATTGATTGATTATGCATATTCATTGATTTTTTATCCAATTTTGCCCAAAGTTCTATTTTTTCTTTGTTTTGTTTCTATTTTTCTGCTTTGCATTTGACATCAGTTCATTTTTTCTTGCGCTGAGTTCGAAGCAAAATTTTCGTCTATCAACCCATTTCCGTTTTTTCGGTAGCCTCTAAAAGCGCTCAATGCAATTCGAAACTCATCTGTACCATTCACTATCGAAGGAATCGTCTTGCTGATGGCTTTTTCTACCGCAGGTTTTGTGGATTTTGTCTAATTGTTTTTTGGTGTCACTGTCGTTTTCGCTAAGTGGACTTCAAAGGAAATCGGTGTTTCAGTAGCCAAGTCTCACCTAAAACTATTTAATAAGTTTATCGCAATAATTAGGCTACTCATCATGTACAGTCTTTAACTTCATGCCTGTGATTGTGTTTTTGACTTCGGTCTGAGATGCATTTTAGTCATTAACCTGCTGATACTTTTACGAATAAGCTTATATTATCTACTATGTCTTGATAAAGAGTAATCAACGTAGATATTTTTTTAAGGAAAAGTCTTAAAAGTCTCTAATAACTACAGATGAGCATTCATACATATTGATGTATTTATGAATGCAATTAGGTATAATTGCACTTTTTGAGTTTAATTGAAATTCATGCTGAAGGTGACGTAAATAGCTCTCTCCAAATACGAACGTGGAAATGGCGCGAAAAACACTAACTATTTCTAGTTTCGAAAGTGGAATTTAATTTTTAGATTTCCAGCGGAATGAAAATTTTACCTATTGATCCAGTTTTGACAAGCAAAGCTCGTGTGATAGTATGAACTCTCTTTGTTTCCAACCCAAGTCGCAAATATTAGTGTTCATTTTGAAAGTGTTCTTTTATTGCAGTAGATCAATAACCAGCTATTAAGTACAGCCAATGCGAATTATATTAACACAGAATATTTTATTACAAAGAGCACTTTAGCTTCGAGCTATCATGGATCTGTAGCGTAGAGGTAGCGAAGCAGACCCGCAAAAAACCAGAGGGTTCGAACCTGGGCAGAGTCGGATGTTTTAAATGAAATTTTTCTTATACTAGTTAAAATGCGTCCGCTCTATAAATAGGCATATTAGTAGGTGAATTTCTTTTTTTTTTTTCAAATTGACTGGTACTGCTGATGCGTCATAATTGGCTTGCGTTACTTAGCATTTATATAGAATCAAAGTTTATTTCATTCAGTTTTTTGCTTGTGTATGCGAAGTGCAACTTCGCCTCTGTGTCTCAAGTTGGGTTTATGTTATCAAAGAAGCGCCAATCGTAAGTCGTTCTAGAAATTCAAAGAGCTTAAAGGGCATCAATATTTTTCGTTGAAATTCGAAGTGTTTTTTAATGTCTGCTTACGTTCATTACTTTTTTCCAATCTTCGATTGGCTATGTTCGAAGAAAGCATGCCTTACGGTGCAGTTGGCTTGAACAAAAAACTGCAACATCAAAAAATGGGATTTCGAGTTTCATTGAGTTTAGATCCGTGTATTGGACGTTTAAATTGACCGTAAATTAGTAATAAGGATGAATATTTATTGTTAAAAAAAGTCCCTTTATCGATCAAAATTGGCTTTACGGATCAAATTTATGAAATGGATCAACCGCGCAATCTCCCCTCCCAAGTGACCTACCCAAGTAGAATGCCCACCCCAGGCTTGTATTAATTTGAAAAATATTTCTGTGTAAAATATGAATTTCATACAAACGCGCAAATAAAATTGGACAGAACATTTTTTGTGGGATTGCATTTGTATGCTATTAATAACCCAGATAAATGCTTTAATTCAATTTCTTTAATAATACGGTTAATTTTGAACGAATCTAGAGTGTACTCAAAGTTAGCTTATGAAAAATTGATAATTTCCTCCCCTAATTGGACTTGGGCGGGGGGGATTGAACGGTTGATCCTATGAAATTAATATGTGATATTTGGTTGTTTCAGACGTAAATATTCCTAGATTTCATGTATTTTGAATTGTACTTTTTTAAATCAAAATTGGGAGATTTGGCGGACTCATAACAAATCAAGAGGTTGAAGTTTCTTTCGAAGAAAACGGAATGTTATGCGTGTTGTTTTTTATTCAGTCAATTTTTGGCGATCGAAATAATATTTTTTAAACAAAAATTTTTTATGCCCCATTGAAGATATTGACTCCGTGAAATCAAATTTGAAAAGATTTTTACCTCCGAACCCTGATCAGTTTTTGCAGAGCTCTGGGGTTTGAAAGTTACAAAATTGGCCAGGCTCTGGACTAATTCATGCGCGCTTTGTTGATTTTATTTATGCGAATTATATATGCGTGGCGAATTATCCCGCTCAACAAAATCGTTCCAAATTCAATTGAGGCCAGCTATCTAATCAGTCATATTAATTTTATACGACACAAATTTTCGGGAACCGTTATTCCAGCTTACAGATAAAATAGCATAAAATTTCAAAGATGTTAAATTACATATTAACGAATCAAATTTCATGATAATTATACCATCTACAGCATTCCGTCTATCGATTTCGTTATTTTATATCAGAAATTTGTTTGTAAATTGTTTGAAAATTAGCTTAACAAAAGAATTGATTTAGCTTTTATTCAGTTTTTTTGTTTTAAAAAAATAATATGATGATTAATTAGTTATGAATCTGCCACGAAATGTTCATTCAGTTTTGTTAGAACCACGATATTTATTGCTCTTTCAGAATTTAAAATTTAGAAAAGCACGCGATGACACGAATAAAAAGCCGGCAAAAATTTATGCTATTATATTTATATGCTATTTTATACAGCCCCAAATTTTCACACTTGATCTTTAATATTGTCCAAAATTTACAGGTTTTCAATGATTTTTTTTCTCGAAATTTATTCGGTATGAATTAAGTAGCAGTCGGAACATCCAGGGCTTTGCCCTGATATATGAGCAGTCTTGTTCGTTTTTAGGGTAGAATTTATTCGCACAAATTTCAGTGTTTTAAGCGATAAATGTTTGCTCACATTCATTTCTCTCAGAACTTCTGCATTCTTATAGTACAAAGTTAGCATCGCTTTGCTCGCGGGAAACCGAAATATTTAAGTGAAATTTCCGGATCCCTTGTGTGGTTTAAAATAATTTATCTTTAATGAAAAAGTAAAGATAGAAGTGGTTTTGCTTTTCCTGATTTTTAATTTTGTTTTCAAGTAACGCGTGTCTTATAATCAGTAGCAGATTTAGGGGGGGGTGGGGGTTGGGAGCGGACGCCCCCTTCTCTCATCTCAGGGATTCGTCGACCCTCTGCCAACGATATAAAGGCGCCTGAGGCGCCAATATATACTAATTTTTGAGGGGGGAGCGCGCCAAAAAACACGATTTTTTTTGGTTAACATTTTCCAAAAGTACCTAAAAACTGCTTTTTTGGCCTGTTTTTTCAAAAACTTGACTGCGACGCGGAAAATTTGGTCAAAATGGAGTATTTATAGTGATTTGGGAGAGCTCAGAAAATCAATTTGGTCGACCTAAAAAAAAATTTTTTTTGAAAGTCCTCCCGCCTCGAGAAAATCCTAGATCCGCCCCTGCTTATAATACTATGTAACTTTTTTCAATTGAGCCTTTTTTAGTGCAGGCTCAATTTGATTGTTTTTCAAACGATTAAAGAATGCTTTTTTTAGATAATTTTTTTAAAAATTTGTTTTAGGTTAAAAGAGCAATTAATGGAGCCCTGTGTCTTAAACTATAACGGATCACAAAGTTTTGCGAGAAAACCCAGTTTTTCCATCTTTAGCAAATGATTGTATCGTTTTGAGATAATTTTTTTTAAAATTTGTTTTAGGTTGTAAGAAAGCAATTAATGGAGCCCTGTGTCTTAAACTATAACGGATCACAAAGTTTTGCGAGAAAACCCAGTTTTTCCATTTTCAGCAAATGACTGTATCGCTGTGAAGAAAATGGACGCTCAATATAGAGGCCATGGGCGCGAATCTTACAGTCTATTTATTTGTTTTGTTATTTTGGCCTGCTGTTGAAAATTTAAGCTTGATTGTTTCAAAATCATTTTACTTGACGGTTTTTTGCAACGACTTGCCAAGGGATCATGTGTGTGTGCTTCTTCAGTTCTGTACTCAAGGGAAGTTTGGGCAAGCTGAAAAAGTAGTGTTGTCTTTGCAGAAACCAGTCGTTTACGGATGAGGAAGACAAAGAACATCTGATGGGTGGTGGGAATGTAGACAGTGCGGGAAGAGTAAGTAGTGGAGATAGGAGTGACGGGGGTGCCAGTTTGAGCAGCGACAGAGGAGGAGGATCGGCGAGTGGAAGAAGTAGCAGGAACAGTACTTTGAGAAGCTCTAGTGGACCTCGAGAGTCTGTGGCTCTGGTCAGCACATCTGCCCACGACTCATCGGATGTTGCCACAGTTTACGAGTGCACTGGACTAGCTACCTCAAATGTAAGCTCAATTAATAACAATCCTCACACTTTTTATAATTATTATAAACTAACCATAACAAGATATTTTAAGCATGTAGCATATATTGTTCCGACAATAGAAATCTTTTTATAAAAAAAATATAAAAACCTATAAAAAGTAAAACTCTAAGCCCAGATCGAATTACATCCATTCACTTACACTATCTTGGACTGAATGGCCTTAAATTTTTGTTAAACTATCTTAGACCAAATAGTCTGATATTTCTGGCACAAATCATAACCATCTCTATTAACACTACCATAATGCAAAAATGTGGAAAATATCACGCATAATTCTACTCCCCAAACCAGAAAAGGATCCGGAGAAATCGAAAAGCTTCCGCCACATTGCACTACTGACGCCAATCGCCAAACTGATGGAAAGGATTTTCTCACCTGAGCTACACCTAAACATACAATTAGCAGACCACCAACACGGTTTTAGGAAAGCCCGGTCCACAGTTGCTACACTTAATTAAATCAATCATCATATAACCGAATGACTGAATCATGAAAAACCCTCATGAATCAACTTAAGCTAACGGCCGCCTCTGACACAGTAAATCACAGTTTCCTTTTAGACTTAAAAACCAACATCAAACGATGGCTGTTATCCTATCTCCAAGGTCGCTTCAGATATTTTGAATGTTGAGATGCAAAATCTGGCATGAGAAAGGTTAACAAAGTTTACCACAAGTTGGTGTTCTCTCGCCCAATTTCTTCAACCTATAAATGAGCTCCAGGCCTAAGCCACGAGAAATTGTTAAGCTAGTCTCTTACAGGCACTTAAATCTTTTTAATTCTTAGTCTGCCGAAGTACACTACAAAACGAAAGTCGATATTGGAGGTTACCGACTAAAAACTGCAAAAATTGTAAGCAAAGTGACTTAAAAATATCAAAAATCATGAGTACCGACTAAAAACATAAAAAAAATTTGCAAAGAAGCGCAACTATGATTGGTTTTTACAGAGCGCGAGCTATAGTTTTAATAATTTCTTTGTTTTACGCACAAAATTTTTTATAATAGTTAAAGCTTATTGAATGCTCCCTAAAATTTCGCGGTTTGATTTTAAATTTTTAAAATTCAGTTCATTTCCTTTGTCCAATATCGAACAGCAAAATTGTTCAGGTCGCTAAAACTGTGATCTACTTCTATATTCGAAATTGAATTGACATTTACAGTTTTTCCAGCCGAATTTTAGTTTGACCTATTGATCCAATTTTCTCAAATAGAGGTAATTTTATCTAAAAAATTTCAATCATAAATTGTTCCGGATTTTCAAAAGCTTCAAGGCCATCTAATTTTTTCTTCGAAATTTTCAGAAAAGTCAGTTTTTTTTCTGTTTCCTTTAGTTCATTGACTCTTTTCCAACTGTCTGTTGGCTTTTTAAATTATTATGTTGAACAGTATTCAGTTTTACTCCTCTATTTTCTATCTGTAACGAACGAGGAACGATAATTGTTGATCAATGGGCTTAAAGTATTCTCTGATCCCTTTCAGGACTTAGAAGAGATGGTTGTGCGTAATCCCGTATTCCAACATGACATCTCCAATGAAACACTGGAAGACGACGATGAAGATGACGATGACGAAGACGTGCAAGTACCTTCTAACTTGAGTAACGACCGGACCCGAATGAACGGGGAGCATAGGCCATCTCAGGAACAGTACCCCTACCCACAGCAGAACCCTAGAACATCCTCAGCTGAGCAAAGGTCATTGCGATCCGCCGGTAGAAGATAAACCCTCGCCTCAAATCATATGTGCCTGAGCTAGTTAGTTTTTTTGAAGTCCAGTAGTCATTAGATTTGGTTGCTGTGTTGCATGCAAGAAACTGGATGTCTCTGTTGAAACTATTTGCCTTTCTGGGCTGAAATTAAAATCGCCTGATGGAATGAACCAAGAGCGCATTTAAGTTGGGAAACCCTATTCCCTCAGTAGTACTGGGAGCCTTTCATCCGCATAGGGAAGCTTTGCATGATAACCGACCGAGGCTAAATTTTTCTGTCCTTGCCAGGATATTCTCTTGAAAAAATATTAAGAACTAAGTTTACGGTTTTTGACGTCCGCTGCCTCCGCGCATTCAAATCCTAGATTCGCCCTTGCTGTCAGGCGAGAATATCTAAAGCATATTTGAAGCTTCTTAAATTTAAATTCTATCAAATATATGTATGGTGCTTTTTCATTGTTCAGTACGTTTGATAATGTTGATGATTTCAATATTATCTCTATCAAAAGTCGAATAACTTTACGTGGCTAATTTCATAAATGATGTCAAATTCTAGTGAAAAAATTATAATTTGAAATTGAAATTATTTTAATTTAAAATAAACTGAAGTTTTTGTTTTATTGACATGCTTTGAATACAGGAACTTAGACGCAAGCCAAAAAAGTTTTTGATCAGTTTGACTCGAAAGCAGTTGGCAATGACATGATTTTTAGATTTACCCGAAAATTTATAAGCTTTTCGATTAGCAATATGCTTATAGAACTCTTCTAGATTCCTTAGCTCAAAAAAGCATGTTTCTAAAATTCAGAAGTTGATTTCGGTCAGGAATTGTATTTTATGTAAACTGGAAGTTTTCTGCTTTGAAAAAGTCCGAAAATCTTTGCGTTTCTGCTTGTTTTTTTCCCGGCTGTGTGTCCACAACGATTCCCTTTGAAGTTTTTCGCAAATTTTCAATGTTAGAATGCCACTCAATATTCATTATTATGCAGGCATTTTAGTTTCCAGATTTACTAAGGAATTTTTTTGCTGTTTTATTAGGTCGTGAATACTGTTATATAGGTCATGGTGATTTTTTAATCGTTTTTTTTAGGAAAAAGTCTTTAAATGCTCTAATAATTATAGATGTGCATTCATTCATTTTGATGCATTTTTGAATGCACATAGGTAAATTTTAAGTTCAATTCGGGTTCATCTTCTAAAAGTTAGGTAATTTGCGCTCTCTAATTACAAAAGCTGGAATGGCGAGAAGAAATGTAAATGTGTGCGACTTCTACCGTGCAGATTTCAATTATCCGGACGAAACGAATTACACCTGACGAATTAGTTTTCAACGCGAAATTGGGTTGACTCAAGACAAAAAATGATGAAGACGAATCTTGCTTGGAATTTCAGCAGAATTCATTTGGTGGAATTTGTTTTGCGAAATTCGAGTCTAAAATTGAACACCAAAAACTACCATTTTCGGCTCTTTAGTCAAACTAAAGTTACCCCAAAATTATTGGTTCAATTGCTGACAAAAATATCACAGTGAGCCTCTTAGATAGTTGTCTGACTCTTTTCCAACTGTCTGATGGCTATGTTTTTCATATATGTTTATTTCGTTGTTGTGCAAATAATAAAAAGAAATCAAAGAGTGGAGCTTAAAGTCTCAACTTAGCGGTCGTTTGTCCCAAAAAAAATTAATTGTAAAGAACCTCAGTCTTTTTTTCGAAATAAAAAATAGTCTTTTTTTGGTTTCCTTGTGTTCATGACTTTTTTCCGATTGTGTTGGCAACAGGGGCGTATTTAGGGGGAGGGGGGTGTCGCGAAGGCTTCCCCTCATCCTCGGATTGGACCTCTGCCGATCCAAAGGGTCCCCCCTTTGTGTACTATTTTGAAATATCCATTTTTGGCTGACGCACCCTAAAAATTTTTAAATGCGCCTTTGGCGCCAATTACATACTAATTTGGAGGGAGGGGGTGCGCGCGCCGAAAAAACGCAATTTTTTGCAAAATTTTCCAGAAAGTGCCTAAAATTGCTTTTTTTCGAAAAAGTGCCTAAAACGGTCTTTGGCCGAAACAGGGTCTTTTTATATCATAGGGAGAGCTCGGAAAATCAATTTGGACGACCTAAGAAAAAGTTCGGCAAAATTTTTGAAAGATATTGATGTCCTGAGCTCCTTAATGTAAAAGTTCTTTTTTACCTCTGATCGTAGTTTGTAAGAATGGCCGGAACATGCTGTGCTATTTGCACAGCAACCGGCTATTCTTGTTTTCTCTTTAGTTTCTTGTTTTCTCATTAGAAGTAGTTTCGTTTTCAGATTATAGTGATGGCTTCTGCTTCGAAGCCTGTCAAGTGGCTGCGTGCTTTCTTAGCCGGAAAGAAAAGGTTAGACCAACCCCTCCGATACGCTCCCGAACAATCCACACGAGATGTGCCCGCGGCCAATCTGCCGGGAGGCGCCGCTCACAAACTCAGCACGAACTATTACTACTCCAGAGATGGAAGAAGGGCCAAGATCCCGCCTGAATTGGTAGCTCTGAATGCAAGTGTGAAATTGATTACTGAAACGCCAGCTGAGCAATCTACAGCCGTTGGACAGGTGGACCCTCCGACACCAGGGGTCCCTTTGCTGTGGACTAAATCTACGACAGATGCAACACCATTTGGAACAGGTGCTCATGATCACCAGTGGTACTACAAGCAAGATAAAGTGGACTTACACGTTAGGCCGCCACAAAGAGGAACAGACATCGTAGGAAATTAGAGTTGCGACAGAGACTATGAAACTAAACTGAAACTGATATTTTTAACTGCTATATTTTTGATATGTCAAATCAGGTTTGACTTACTTGAAGTTTAACATAGAGTATTCTCGAATATTGAAAATTCAGCGACATAGTTTTTGGACGTTCCATAAGTGTCAATGAGTTAAGTGAGTTTTCACTTTTTTTGAGTATGGGTTTTAAAAGTATTAATGAACAATTTTTCTCTTATATACAGTGCTGATTTAAATTGACCTAACACAACGAACAACATTTGAAATTTCAAAACGCATTTTTCTCAAAATCGTTTAAGGTTAGACAAAAAGTGAAGAGAACAAACGTTACTTAGCATTTCACCAAAGTTTTTATCGTGCAAAATTTTAAACCAAAATTGTTCCCCCAAAAATTCACACAGAGAAGTGAGAAGTTCACATAAAAAAGCTTCTTACACAGTTGATCACACTAGCGTCATGTTAGTGTGTTATTAAGAACCTCTTTTCCTAACCTAACTCGCAAATAAAAGTGTTCATTAAAAATGTTCAATTATTTGGAAATTTCACTCTAGCATTGAAAACTACATAGCATCGGTTCTCGGCTTTATTTGTAGCTAGTGTTTAATCGGTTTATTTCTAAAATGCTTTCGTAGCTGAGTGGTTAGTGTGTGTGACTGTTACTCCGCCGAGTTTTTGCTAATACGAGTCTTATTTAAACTTTTTCTTATTGCACTTTATAAAGCTGCCTTTTGTTATGTTCTGGCTAGTGTTTGCGAAGCGACGCGTCTCCTCCGTGTTAAAGTTCTGGAAATTTTTTTTCCAAAAATTTATAAGGGATTATAGCTAATAAAGTTCATTTTTACACTCCTGGATTTTTGTTGGGCATTGTAAAAGGCTTTTTGTTATAGATTTCTATTGCTAGCTGCAGTGTGACTGATTAATTTAAAAGAAACCGAAAAAACCCTTCTATGCAATGCAATTTTACTTCAGATTTCTGTGGGAAAATTGCAGCATAAAAATTCTAGGGAAATAGGGAAATTGTAAATAATTTTTGTTTTCATTTTGTGTCAATTTTAACCCAATTCGAGAAAAACGCGTTTGAAATGTCAAAATTTGTTGGTTTTTGTCTGGATAATTAAAATCAGCACTGGAGCTCGTATTGATTTTTTTCGTGTTTTTTTTGCAAAGTTTGATTGTTTGAGGGCACATTACGCCCTGTAAATAGAAACTGAAAATGAGGCGACAAAGCGTGAATTACCTATACTTTGAGGATATCAGACTTCATAGCGGAATAAAAAAAATTTAGCTTTCACTCGGTTTTGTCCAATTGTGTCAGTTTAATGAAAAAATGTTTATTATCAAAATTCATAAATAATAGTTTTTTTCTTCTTAACTCGAAAATGAAAGGTCTTGTAATCGGGATTTAGTTTTTCGTCTTCCTGCAGGCTAAGCACTGGAGTTCAAATCCCTGTCTAACTTTTCCTTTTTTCAGTACATACGCAATTGAAAAAAAATTTCCCGTTAAAGTTTAATTGCCGGACTTTTGTCTATCTGCTGAGGTTTTGTCGGCTGTGTTGCCACATCGCGGACTCTTTTGTTTCCTGGTTCATTTGAATTTGGCCTAAAGGTAACGCTGTTGTCTTTGTAGGTTAAGGACTGGGGTTTGAGTCCCTGTTGGACCTTGTTTTTTGTTCCGACTATTGAAAAATTGGGAGGAAATTTGTATTCGGGTGTGTTTTAGTTTTTTTCTTTTGTTTTCCACGCAAAATTAGGTACCACCAATAATAATCGGACTGGGTTGAGTGATATATTATATTAAAACACTTTCAGTCGCAATTCGAACCACTTTTCAAAAATTTCTTAAAAAGTTTCCCGGAGTCGAGAAAAACCGGTTTGAAATGTTTGATATTTCGTCTAATTTCGAGCGAGTGAGCAGACTTACATTAGCTTGTTTATGCTATATTTACTTTACTGAAATTATTTTTTGGAGTTTTTGGTTTAGTCTTAGGAATCAAAAACTTCAAAAATTTGGGAAAAACTTTAAATAATTATAAAAAACAAATTTTAAGTTTTTTTCATGTTATTCGTCTTCAAAAACTGTTTTCAGTTTGCATATTTAGTATGACTGGCAAAAAGGCCTAATTCTACTATTTTGCTCAGATTTTTTTATCAGAAAAAAAAACGACAGTAGTTGGAAAAAATAATTTTAATGTAATTTTTTAAGACTGGTCGGAACATTCTGTGCTACTTGCACAGTAACCGGCTATCCTTGTTTTTTTTGTGTTCAAAGCAAAACCAGGTACCACAAATAATCATCGGGTTTAATTTAGTGTTATATCATATTAAAGCCCTTTCAGACGTGATTGGAACATTCTTTCTAGTGCCGAAAAAAAAAAGAGTTTGAAATTTCTGATTTTTCGTCTTAATTCGAGCGAATAAAGCAAGCGAGCAGGATTACAACAGCTGAAATGCCTAATTTATGCCTAATTTAAGACTTGAAAGCTTACTTCCAAGCTAGTAAAATTAGTTTTGGAGTTTTTTAGCTTCATTTTGGCAACCAAAAACTTCAAAAAAATTCCAAAAAATGTTGCAAAAAATTTTGAAATTTTTTTAAAATTTTTCTTTTTAGTTTTTCTAGTCGTTTTTCTACAAAATTTTATGTCCAATTTGTCTTTTACTATGACTGTCTATAATTTCTATATAATTTTTTTTCGTCAGATCACACCAAACAGAAAAAACTACACTATTTTGGAAAAAAACTTTCTAAACCGTAGTTTTCTAAAGACTATGGTCGGAACATTTTGTGCTACTTGCGCAGTAACCGGCTATCCTTGTTTCAGTATGTACACTTGAAACTTTTAAATTTTTTAATAAAATCAATTGTTTTTGGGCTAAACTGGGGTCTGCTCAAATTTTGTCGGCTTTGTTTCGCTGCGTTTCTTCTAGCTAAATAATGAAAATAGGTTTTTGGAGTTTTCGATTTTTTGCAGGATTTAATCAAAACTTACCCTATTTTAACTGAATCGAACATCGATTTGCATCAACAGAATCGACTAGAAAAATACTTTTCAAAGTGAGCTCCAATTCAATCTTTCATAATTAACCTTCGGGCTAGTCAGGGCCGGATTTAGGGGGGGGGGGGTGGCGGGGTGGCGGACGCCCTTCCTCAGGGATTCGACCCCCTGCCGACCCAAAGGGTCCCCCCTTTGATACTTTTTCAGAAATCCATTTTTGGCCGACCGACCCTAAAATTTTTCTTAAGGCGCTTTTGGCGCCAGCCATTATATACTAATTTTGAGGGGGAGCGCGCGCCAAAAAAAAGCGATTTTTTTGTCAAAATTTTTCAAAAAGTGCCCAAAAACGGCTTTTTTGACTGTTTTTTCGAAAATATGCCTGCGGCGCAGAAAATTTAGCCAAAATAGGGGCAAAACAGTGCTTTGGGAGAGCTCGAAAAATCTATTTGGTCGACCTAAAACAAAAAAAAAGGTCAAAACTTTGGAAAATTTTTTGAAAATCCGCCCCCCTCGAGAAAATCCTAGATCCGCCCCTGGGGCTAGTCCGTCCTGGGGCTAGTCCTCCTAGTTGGTTGACTGAAAAGATGCTTTAGTTTTTTGGTTTCAAATTGTGAATTCTATGACGACCTCTGTATTATAAACGACTTTTTGAAAATATTCACGAAGTTTTTTATTGTTCTAGGTCAGAAGAAAGCAAAAAATGTAGCCTTGTTATAAAGTTTCTAAAACAATGACTGTAGCTGATTGCATTAAAATGAACAAGTTAATCCAATGGTTATTCACAAATGTTTCATTTATCGGGTTTGATGTTGTGAAATGAGCTTTTAGAAGTCATTATTGTGCTAGAAAAAGGCTGAACTCACCTACTCTTGTAATTTAAGGTCTTTTTTTATTACTATCTTATCCCACCTCCCTGATACTAGCCATCTACTGCTAAGCTAACCTAATTGATTGAATAATGACATAATGACACGAATGATTATCCCTGTTCCCGAGTCGCTGATTAACTGTTGCTTCGACTCCCTGTGTTTCGTGTAACTGTTTCTTTTCAAGCTACTTCGGTCTTCAAGCCAACTGATATTTTTTGAAATACTTGCTGTTTTTCAACTGTGAATGCAAAAGTCGTGAAAACTGTCAACTTTGACATGAGTTGATTATTTTTTTTGTAACCAACCGAAGTGTGAAATATCTGAAGCATTCATAATGGTGACCACGTTCGCCCTTAATATCACGGTATTCACATTTTGATCGCATGTTTTTGCTCTCTCGTTGCTCTTACAATTGTTCACTGATGTTTTCATCCTGATTTGTCTTTTTTATTGAACCTTAAAGGAATTGAGGAAACTCCATGCTCAATTCTTGTCCTAAATTCTCAGGTTTGTGTCGTTTTTAATTTGAATTTTTGTTCCAATTTGCTTCGCAAGTTGCGCTTCCTGATTTATTTCAATGTTTTATGTATATATTTGTTCTCTAATAATGGAGCTTGGGGGACACATGAGATCGGCGGTGGTGACATGGGTTACTGCTTTTAATTGCAACTTTTTATTTGGTCTACCTCTGCTTTATTGCACTTCGTATGCCTTGATGCGTAGACTGAAATGATGATTATACGAGATGTTGCTCATTAAAATTTTTCCTACATTGTAAAACTGAACTGCTCTGTTCTCAAAACTTGTTGTTATCAATCAGAGAAAGTATATATGTATTTTACAAGTTTTGGAAGAACACATTGAAAAATTATATGTGTTGCCTTATAGCTCGTATGGTTTTGCTCTCATCACTCAAGGATATCATTTTGTTAGTTCATCTACTTTTCAAGTCGACTTTTAGTTGTGCGAGATTGGGCTGTAAAATTTAGAAGCTGCTAAAAGTGACCTAAATGTGGTGTAGCTGATTTAGGGCGTCCCCCTAAATCCCCCTTTGTGCTATTTTGACATTAATTTTAGGCTGACTGACCTAAAATTGCCTTTTTTGAACCTTTTTCAAAGTTTTTTT